ATTATCCGCGTTATCCTGATGAGCCAGATTCTGAAGCACAAACAGGTCGCTGTCATTTTCAAGTCCCTGGTCTTGGCTGCCCACCGATTGGACGACGAGGTGGACAAGAACGGCGAAATCCGTAAGGAGCTTGGCTCGACCCTGATTGACCTTTCCCGCTTCTCGGGCGAAACGAGCGAGATCATCCAAACCGTTCTTGAAGAGGTCGATTTCGACGTGGAGGAGTTAGAGATGAAGCTGGATGTCTCAATCAGGCAGAAGAAGGCACTTCCCGAAACCCAGGACGATGTCGATATGAACGGCACCAACGCCCTTGCCCCAACGAAGGAGGACTTGCACCAGACTATCCGGGAGCTCGCTGTTCAGAAGCGCACCCTCCCGTCTTGCCTCTCTACCAGCCCGGGAGAGGTTTACGAGGAATTCAGCCAGCTCTTCCTCCGTGTCGTCTCGCAGCAATCCGAGGATCCGACTCTTCTTGCCAACTTTGACGAGTTGCCCTCCCTTAGCCGTCAAACCGCCGTTAGCGACCACGCCTACATCACATTCTTCGTTCGCATTTGGTCCGGCCCATACCCAACGCTCGCTCGTGCTGCAGCCGTGGACGCCGTCAAGAAACGTCTTAGTGATGGGGATGGAAATGATCTCGACTTCCAAGGCCTCATCCCTTACTGCCTCATCGCTCTGGTCGATTCCTCCAAGAAGGTTCGCCGGGCTGCTGCGGAGCTGCTGATTCAGCTTGGCCAGATCTTCCCTCCTCAGTCGAAGGCGGCAAAGAAGTCTGTCTGGGGCGGAAAGAATGTCTATGAAGACAGCGCCAAGCTGCACTGGATGGACGCTGATGCAGTCTCCCGCCTGCTCCACGGTGTTATTCTTCCGTCGATCGAGGAATGCATCATGCACGAAGACCATATCCGCGCCATCTTGCATTCTTCTCTTGACAGCAGTGCCAAGTCCGAGAGCGGCGAGGGCAAGAAGATTCTCAGTCAAGCAAACAGAATTGCTATTCTTTCCTTCCTTGCCAGCCACATCGTTGCGACGCCTCTTCTCCGGGTCAAATCCAACCTTCTCTCTATCCTGAACCGGATCAAGGGAGTGTCATCCACCTCAAGGACCAAGGTACTTCTGCCTGCATTCAAATGGTGGGCAGCGTTGTCAGCAGAGGAGACTGTTCGTCTTTGCGACGCTGAGGAGGTCGACCAATCCTTGCTCCACACCAGATTCGCCGAGATTGTTGTTCCAAACGACAGCGACGGACTCGAATGCCTTCTTTCTACTATGAAGAACCCCGAGTCTGCGAAGCGTCCTGAGCTTGTCAGGTCTATCTCGGCACGCATACGTGCCATTTGGAACTCCATGAAGGCCGACACTAAGTTCGATGTTGCACAGACGATGTTGGAGCTCTCCCAGGCTCGGCAAGCATCTCAGGACGATGAGGATATCATTGCCGACGAGGCTGCCGATTTCCTCAGAAATGTTGACCTCACCACAGAGATTCTGTCTTCTTTCCTCGAGTCAATCCAGACTGGTACGAAGCTCATTACTGAGCCGCCACCAAACAAGAGGCGCAGGACGAGCTCCTCTGAGGCCAACCGTGGAACAAGTGCTCAAGCCAGCGCTGAGTTGAGCGCAACCCTGAGATCAGTGACTTTTGTTCTTCAACTCGTCGAGGGTTCCAACCCGGCTTCTCACCCAGAGCTCCTTGATAGCCTTTTTGGCACTCTATCCGAGTTGCAGCACTTCCGAACCGTGATCGGATCTGAGCTGGGATACCTGCAGAACCTGGTTCTTACTAGCTTGATTGCTATGGTACCTGCCTACAGAGAGAATAAGAGCTTGAAGATCGACAGCTCAGGTGGCCATGGTGACCTGCTCGTCAACTGCATCCAGAAGTCCTCTAGCCCTATTGTGCAGAACTCTGCCCTCCTGCTGATCGCCAGCTTGGCAACGGCCGCCCCTGATTTGGTTCTTCATAGCGTGATGCCCATTTTCACTTTCATGGGTGCCTCTGTCCTGCGCCAGAACGATGACTATTCTGCTCACGTGGTCAACCAGACCATCAGAGAGGTTGTTCCGCCGCTCATGACGTCGCTGAAGAAGGGCAAGCGCAACCCAGTTGCTGGTGCCACCGAGCTTTTGGCAAGCTTTGTTACTGCGTACGAACACATCCCGGCTCACCGCAAGCAAGGTTTGTTCATCGCCCTTGTCAACACTCTTGGCCCTGATGAGTTCCTGTACGCCCTGCTGGCTATGCTGGTCGATAGGTACGGCCCCAGCGATAACCTCATGGCGTTTGCTTCTGAGCTGCTCGGTGTCTACAGCGCGGAGGTACAGCTTCAGACTCTGGCGAAGCTCTTGGACTTGATCAGCGACATCTTCAAGCCTAAGCCGGGCTTGTCAGCCACTCTGCTTGGCGTCGGCGAAGACATGTCCGAGAAGAAGCCCGAGACCACGGCCCTCCAACAGCTGACTGTGTTCCCTGCTCTGCTGTCTAGCAGAAAGCTGCGGAAAGAAGTTGGTATCCTCACAGAGAAGGACGACATGGATGCCTCCAAGATTCGAGAGCTCTATGCAATCCTTCTGCGAGACGTCCTTGCTCTTGCCGAGACTGTCAAGCAGCAGAAGCCTCTTCACGAGTGCTGCGGCAATGCCCTTGCCAACCTTCTCAACCTTCTGTCCATCGGCGAGTTTATCAAGTCAGTGGAAACTCTCTTGGATCGCACAGAGATCGATCTCAGACGCAAGGTTCTTCGTGCCCTCGAGGTCCGCGTGGACCAGGAGAATGTCGCGAATGTCACATCCAGAACCGCCCTCCTCGCCTTCCTCCCACAGCTCACTGCTGCCATCCGCGATACGGACGACATCAAGTACAAGCACACGGCCGTGGCCTGCGTCGACAAGATTGCAGAGAAGTATGGAAAGAAGGACGTCGAGGCCGTGGCTGCGGCAGCCCAGACTATTGCTGGAGTCCACTGCCTCGGTCAGCCGGATATTCGCCTCCGTGTCATGTCTTTGCTCTGCCTTGCTTCTCTTGTTGACGTTCTCCAAGACGGCATCCTGCCCGTACTGTCTCTCGCTGTCCCCCAAGCAATTCTTTACATCCAGCAAAGCGTGGAGCTGGACGAGCCGGCGACCGAGTTGCACAACGCCAGCTACTCTTTTATCACAGCCCTGGCCCAACACCTGCCCTACATGATTTCTGGCAAGTACCTGGACAACATCCTGCTTGCCTCCAACAAGTCTGCCGAAGCCGATGTGGATGATGAGGCCGATGACGAACGCCTGAACTGCCTGAGGTTCCTTGCGAGAAAGGTTGATGCCAAGGTCATGCTCGCCAGCTTAGAGAAGAACTGGATCCCTGCCACTGAAGCTGGTTACAATGTAAGTTATCATGTAATGGGACCAAGTACGACCAGACTAACAATCTTGCAGGCAACCGATGAATGGGTGGATATCTTCAGTGTCATCGTGGAGAGTCACACCAAGTCCGTCGTCACCAAGAATGTCACCACTCTGTCTACCATTCTCCTGAGCGCCTTGGATCTACGGAGACGCGAGCAGGCAACGGGCAAGCTCACCAGCGCAACTTCCCAACGCGTGGCCAACATCGAGGCGTCCATCAACGACGTGGCGCTGTCCATCATTTACAAGCTCAACGACGCTGCTTTCCGGCCCATCTTCGCCCAGATGGTTGAGTGGTCTACACAACTGCCCAAGCAAGACATCACTGGACGGGTGCTCCGCCGCTTCAGCGTTTACGGCTTCTTCTTGCGCTTCTTCGAGAGCTTGAAATCGATCGTCACCAGTTACGCGACCTACATTGTGGACGATGCCGTCGAAATCGTCGAGTCCTGCGACCTCACTGTGCCCGAACAAAAGGGGCTTTGGCAGAGAGTGCTCTCCACTATGGCGAGATGCTTTGAGCATGACCAGGACGACTTCTGGCAGGCCCCTGCACACTTCGGCAAGGTTGCGCCGGTCCTGGTCGACCAGTTCCTCCACGCTTCCTCCGTGGACTTGACCGCCGAGCTTATCCCCGCGGTCGTGGAGTTGGCTGCCGCTGCGGACTCTCAGGACCACCAGAAGGAGCTCAACAGCTCCATTCTCCGTCACCTCCGTTCGGAACAGGCTGCAGTACGTCTGGCGGCTGTCAAGTGCCAGCAAGAGCTCGTTGTCAAGCTTGGAGAAGAGTTGCTGCCAGCCCTACCTGAGATGCTGCCGTACATCAGTGAGCTCCAGGACGATGATGATGAGGTCGTTGAACGGGAGACGCACCGGTGGATTCACAAGATCGAAGGTGTCCTTGGCGAGAGTCTGGACTCCATGCTGCAATAAACTAGACCCGTTGAGGGTGGAGAGGCTAGAAGATACTGAGCGGCATTTCGGACGGAAAAAAGCGGGCGTCTGCCGTGTAATGGTGAGAATTTTGAGAGTCATGGGGGCGTCATACCTTGGACACAAAGAATGGGTCTCGGGGCCGGAGTGCTCGGGACGGAGAAGACGCCCAGTGTGGGGCGCGTAGACGTCCTTTAGCCCGTGGACTTTTCGCAGCCGCCAAGCGGCCGCAAACTTATTTTCAGGCTCTGTACCTATGACGCAAAGCTGAAGGTCAATATGAATCTGTATTTAGGCGTCTTACAAAACAAAAGCTATGCTGTGTCACAGCCGAAATTCCTTTTTAAATTAGCTACGCACAAGGTCTGATTGATCCAGCCAGCGCATTGACTTTCCCACAACCGTCCGTCTTCGGCCTTAACCCAGCAATCCTCACGTTAAAAACCCCCGTCCGTCTTAGTCGCCCCTGCCTGCGCTTTGCGCTCTTTACCAGCTCCCCGGACACCGAAGCTTTTGGTTCCGATCCATTCTCGTGGCCCCCATATTCCATCAAAGAAGGACCGTTTACCTTCTGGGTACGTCAGTCTAGGGGTCTTGCGGTTGGTTCTATATATGACATCAAGATACTGAACCCTTCGTGCATCTGGTGGCATGATTGTAACCCCAAAATGGCCTCATCAAAAGTCGCCCAACAATATTGGAGAAGTCTGGCCCGCCCCGGACGTGCAGGGGCCGGAGCCGCATTGCAAGCGTCGGCCCCGACTAACACCAGCATGGTCAAGTATCGGAACAGCACAAGCTCGTCTTCGTCAACGGGTGAGTCATCAACTGGACATTCACTTTTGTTGAAAATGCAATTTACTTACACACATTCAAGAGGACAAGAGAGAAAGGGTAGTCATCCTAGGCTCGGGATGGGCGTGAGTTATATCACCTGTGCCTCGGTCTCGTCTTACTCACACGTCGCAGGGGTTACGCCTTTGCTCGCGAACTCGACCCAAAGAAATATGAGCGCATCCTCATCTCACCACGATCATATTTTGTCTTTACTCCCCTGCTAGCTTCAACATCAGTCGGCACCCTCGAGTTCCGTTCAACGCTCGAGCCAGTCCGCCGGCTGAACCTCGACGCCTTCCACCAGGCGTGGGCCGACGACGTCGACTTCTCCCGCAAGCTCGTCCGCATCGAAAAGGTCACTTCTGAAGACCCCACCTCCAAAACTCTGCCCGCAAAGCAGCACCAGCCCAAGGGCGAGACGATAGACGTGCCGTACGACAAGCTGGTCATCTCCGTCGGCGCCTACTCGCAGACATTCGGCATCGAGGGTGTCAAAGAATACGCCAACTTCCTGAGAGACATTGGCGACGCGCGGAGCATTCGTCTCAAGGTCCTGCAGCTGTTCGAGAAGGCGAGCTGGCCCACCGCAACGGACGCACAGCGCCGCGACCTCTTGCACTTTGCCGTCGTGGGCGGAGGACCAACAGGCATCGAGTTCGCGGCTGAGCTGCACGACCTCATCCACGATGACCTCTCCAAGATCTACCCGCACCTGATGGAGTTCGTGTCCATCACAATCTACGACATCGCGCCAAAGGTGCTGCCGATGTTCGACCAGCAGCTCGCGACGTACGCAACAGAGCAGTTCCGCCGCCAGGGCATCTCGGTCAAGACGGAGCACCACCTGCAGCGCATTCGCCCGGACGACAACGGCGGTCTGAGGCTGAAGATCAAGGAGTACGGCGACGAGGAAGTGGGTGCCGGCATCTGCGTCTGGAGCACCGGCCTCATGCAGAACCCGCTTATCCAGACCCTCGTTGCCAAGGAGCTTCGTAGTCCTACGGAGAAGGAGGGCGAGACAGTGACCATCAAGAAGGCGGAGCGGAGCGGTGGAATTATCACGGACCCGATGCTCCGCGTCCGTCTTAATGACCCGGCAAACGAGAACGCTCTACTCCCTGATGTGTATGCTATGGGCGACTGTTCTATCCTTGAGAATCAGACTTTGCCGGCCACCGCGCAGGTCGCCAGCCAGCAGGTAAGTACTCCCTCATCGCTCGCTGTTGTTGTGATCGCGGATGCTAACAACATCGAAGGCCAAGTACCTCGCCAAAACCTTGAACCGTGCCACTGGCGGTAAGGAGCCGGCACCGTTCAGCTTCCGCAACTGGGGCGCCATGACTTATCTCGGCTCATGGCGTGCTATTCACCAGAGCTCAGCTGATGAGCTCAAGGGCCGGTAAGTGACACTCGTTCACCTACGTTCTGTACGTCATGACTGACGTGAATCCATGTAGTGCTGCTTGGATTCTGTGGAGAACAGCGTATCTTACCAAGTCCATGAGTATCAAGAACAAGGTGCTTGTTCCTTGGTATTGGTTCATTACTTGGGTTTTTGGACGCGACATTTCTCGATTCTGAAGACTTTGCTGACGAAACCGTGCTGGACGGCTGAATGTATAACAATTTTTCTTTGTGCAAGCGATAGATTAATTGGAGGTAACAACCTCATAACGAAGATAGACCCGGCTGGGATAGATAGATAGACGGGCAGCATTCACTTGCTCTGTGTACAACAAACACCATCAGGCACAATCGCAATCAAAGACATAACGAAATTTGGCAAAAGAAATGTGCCATAAGAGAACAACACAACAAGAAGTAATGAATGACTGGTGTGGACCACATCTCCAAAGGTAAAATGAACAGCTGAGCGAGGCAAAAACATTCCGAAACCGAGAATCGAACTCGGGGCTATGCCTAACCTCTCAAGTTCCTGAGAGGGCATCATGTTGGCCACTACACCATATCGGATGTGTATACCAAGCCGTGAAGCTAAGTTACTCAAGACCCACTGCGCCGGAGTGACGTTCAGACAGCAGGATGCGATGCCTTCGGAAACGGCCTCCTCCTCAACATGTTGATCGCACGTTGTTATTGAGGGTGAACTTTCTTCATGAAGCTGTGTTTTATAAATTCGTTTGTTCCGAACATATTCTATCTATTTCTATAATGCAAAATGTCGTCCATTAACCTCTAACTCCTGTTCCATGAAACCAGCAAAAAAGACAAAAAAAACTTTTCATTTCCGCCATCCCCATTTTACGAGTTGACCTCGGCGAACCAAGTCCTCAGCAGTCCTGCAAGGGCGCTTGGCAAGTCCTCCAAATTATGAACAATGAGGTAGTACTGGAACGGGAAAGTATCCAGATACCTCTCAATGACAACGCGGCTATTGCCGCTCTCGTCCTTGACGAACTTTGCTTCCTTGAGATCCAGCACACTGTCTCCCTTCTTCTTGCCTGTGTCGTCCATGACGATAAAGACAACCATGATACGCTCCTCCATGGCCTCACGCAGCAGTCGACGGATGCCATCGTGCTGGTTGGAGGGGGTCAGACCGTCAGACAGGATCAAGGCAAGCTGCCAGAGATCCTCGGCACCGCGGGCCGGATTCTGCATTCGCGCCGTGCGGAAGCGGTCGATCGTGTTGCGCACGAGCAGCTGGATATCGGTTCGGTCCTGGTTGAAGGAGAAGTGCTGCAGCACCTTGGCGCCGGCATCGTGCGAGGCGAAGGGCTGAGTGAAGTCGTGCGCCATGAAAGTGTCGGCACCGAAGCCGAGGATGCCGACCTGGCCAACCTCGAGCATGGTGAGAGCGCGCGAGACCATAACGAGGGATTCGAGTGCTAGGTTTCCGGAGCTGGTCTCTCCCATACTCTTACTGTCGTCAACGCAGAGAAGAATCTGGTAGGAGCGCTTAGTCGGAATGGCACGGCGCATCCAGATCTTGTCTCGCTTGTAGCTGGAAGCGATGTAGGGAATGATCTTCTTGATGTTGAGGCGCTTGCCGGTGCGGTAGGAGCCAGACAGCTTGGTTGATTGCGAGGGTGTGAGGATGAGACGGAGCTGAGAGGTGAGGGAGAGGGACAGCGGGTGAGTTTTGGTTTGGAAGACCGTCCATGACTGGAGAGATTCAGAGAAGTCCCGGAGAGGGCGCTCATCGCTGATGTGGGTTGTCGAGAGCTGCTCCGAGGTCTCCTCAATGACTTGCTCCTCCTCGTCCTCCTCATCGTCCATCCTCTCAACTTCATCTTCTTCAGGAGAGATCTCACGGTCGAAGGCGCCCTGCCTTGTCTTGACACCAGAGCGGCCGTCGTCGTTGTCGGCGCCACCCTCCTTGTCTTGAGCCTCCGGGGCCTCCGTCGTGTCCATTTTGTCAGGATCTTGCTCCATGTCAACGTCTTCCGTCTCGGGCATCACACGGCTCGTCGGGTCTTTCTTCTCTTCATCGATGGCCATGTTCTCGTCTATGGGCTGCACCTGGTCTTCAGATGCAGCACCCATGGCTTGTGCATCAGCGGCGGTCTCATCATCCTGGAGATGCTGGAATTCGCTAGCGCCGAGGTCTGCGTCGACATCTTGAGACTGCTTCTGCTCGCCATCATCTTGCTTCTCAGGATCCTTAATGTCGCTCTGTTGTCTGTGCCAACGCTCAAGAGCATCGCCAAGCTTCTTGAAAGGATCTTGCCGGTTTTCAGCTGCGTCGTCTTGATCCTTCTCGGTCGGCTGCGCCTGTTCATCGGACCGGGAGAGGGCTCCCTTCTTGCCTGCGCTAGCTTTTTGCTCAGCAGCACCGTCGCCGGCATCTCCTTCGTCTCTCTGGGCCGCATTCTCGCTGAAGTCGTTCTCGACGTCCATTTGGTCGGCGTCTTGTTCCTCGCCGCCACCCTTCACGTCGCTAGGAGCGGCATTCGCATCAGCGTTCGAATTGTCGCGAGGTTGATCCGAATGAGGATCTTGCTGTTCAGGCTCCTTTTGGTCGTCTTCCTCTTCAGCCTTGGGCTCCATGTCAGGCTCTGGCTCTCCCGCAAGGTCCTCTTCTTCAGGCTCTTCTGCTTCCTCTTCTTCTTCTTCCGGCCCCTTCTCATCGGGTCGCTGTGTCTCCTCTTCCCCATCCTCAACATTGTCCTCCTGCTGTTGTTGCTGAGGCTCCTCCTTCTCGATATCTGACAGCTTATCCAGTTCATCGTCCTCTGACCCTTCATCATCTTCCCCTTCCTCGTCAAAGTCAAAGTCCATCTCCTCGGGCATGTTTAGAGCATCATTCTGCTCTACGTTCTGGTCCTGCTTGATCTCCTCCTCGAACTTGACGTCTTCCTGTTCGGGACCAGCCTCATCCTCCGCCTCCTCATCTCCCTGTTCCATTTCTTGATCATCATCTTCAGCTTCATTCTCGTCGGCCTTGGCATCGTTGTCGGCAGCCATCTGCTCATCCTTCTTCTTCTGACCCTTGGCCTTTTCGCCCTGCTGGTCCTTTTCGGCTTCCTCTTCGTTCTCGCCATCCCACATTTTCTCATCGACAGCCGTGGGGTCCAAGTCGTCAACGTCGCCAACCTCTTCGTCCATTTCGTTTTCCTCGCCATCTTTCTCGTCCCCATCATCCTTGTCTTCCTCGTCCTCGCCATTGACACTACCCATTTCTCCCTCGAGCTCCTCATCTGCCATATCAACAGCGTCCTTTTCATCCTCCATCTCTCCACTTTGCTCCTTGTTTGGTTCTTGAGCGAGCTCTGTGAGATCTTCGTCGGGCTGGATGTCCTTGCTGATGTCGTCCGCTCCTTCACCATCTCCCAGTCCCGTTCCAGACTCGAGTTTGCCAGAATTTCCAGACTGCTCGTCAGACTTCTCTTGGGGTGTGCAGAAGCCCTTAGTAGCAAGCTGTGAGAATGTGCGAGAAAGCTGGTATGTCAGGTTTCCTGTCGCGGCATGCAGGTTGTAAAGCTCGGCAAAGCTCTTGTGGGCTGTGAGGGCGTATTGTTGAACGATCGGCAGAATGATTGCAAGAAGGGATGAAGCAGCGGCCCCCATCGCAGTGTCTTCGAGATCAACGCTCTCCAAGGCAGACAGACATGCGTTGATCTTGTCCACGACAGCGTTGATGTGCAGTGCAGTGAGACTAGCGTTGCGGACAGTGCTAGTCTTGGCCAGCCAGCCAGCATCATCAGATGACTTGGGCAGGTCAGCAATGGCCTTCTTGTACCCTTGAACAGCGACGAGAACAGCATCGCAAAGGTTGGACACTGAATCCTTAAATAGGTTGGCGGTTCTGTCGAAATTGGCGTTGCTGGTGTGGCTTTGAGCTTGATCGATGTTGAACCAAACCCTCACTTGGTCCAGGACGAAGTTGAGGTCAGTATTGTGCATATCTCCAAATGTCAATGACGTGTTGATAGTTTGAATGGCGACCATAACTTGGTCCTGCAAGGAGTCCTGCCCATGGGGCACAAACTTCTCCGGGATCGATGCTGTATTTTGCAGAGACTTTGACAGTCCCTCGGCCATCTCCAGATACCCCTTGAGGATGTTCAGGGTGTTTTGGTTATCGATGGACGCCAGCTTGCCGTGAATCTCGACAACCTTGATGCCAAACTCGACGATAGGCATCCACCATTTCACGCTGATTCTGTACGCAGAATCATCAGCATTGGCATGCTTAAGATCAGAACTCTTACTGAGAGCCTGGATCGAGGTGATGGCGCGGTCTAGCGAGGAAATTGACTTGCGCGCCGTTGTAAGAGTGCTATGCTGGCTTAGAACGACTGTCATCATGCCCTCCATGAAGCCAGTGCTTCGGGTAACCTCAGCACCGGTGAGTTCGCTGTGATGTTCATGGGCAGCAAGTCTGACTTGAGGCGCAATATCGACAACCTTATGGAAGTAGTACTCGGCAGCATCGTTGGAGTATGTCTGAAGGATATCGGACGCAGGCAGGCTTGCAAGTATAATAGCAACAGAGTTCTGCTTGGCTAACTCCTCCGTTCCAAGGTTATGTCTGAAGCCCATCTGCCTGAGGGCCTTCAAAACGTCCGCGAAGAGGTTGCGCTTTCGGGTCTTGAGATGCTTCACCTGGTCTTTGTTTTCCTCGGTCAAAGTGCCAGGGGTTCCCTTGCGCAACTCCTCAATGGATGACCGAAGGCTTTCGACGTAGGAGTCGACTTCCTGGCTGGCGTCCAACTTGTCTTGATTGGCTTTCGTCGTAACACTAGCCATGATGGACAGCGTCTTGGAAGCATTCGACAGACGCTTATGCTGGGCCAGCCAACCATGGAATCCCTTGTTGACGGCGGAGACCGCGGCTGAATTTGACTGGACTTCAACCTTTTCTGCTGAATCTGAGCTAATGCTGCGAGCGACTTCCTCCTCAGGAAGGCCTTGGTCCAGAATTGGTTTCATAGGCTGGCCAAGCACGCCGCGGAACTTGCGGACGATTCTGAAGAGCTTTTGGTGAGATCTCCGAGCGCTCTCACGCAGGGCATTGATGTTGGTGTCCTTCCAGCTAGCCAGAAGCACGACTTCCTTCATTTTCTTTTCAATAGGAACCCTGTTCTTGGCCATTGTTTCGTTCGCAACCCTCTCAA